GATCCAGACATTTGAATTGAGAAAGCTTCCTAGAGGGGAAGCGATACATCTTCAAATCTTGGAAACCAAGTCCAGTGGATTGTTTTTTAAACTTTTACAGAATGACTATGACCTGGATGACTGAGAATCTTCATCAGCATAGAGAATATTTACCACTATCTGAATAAACAGATATGAACGAGTGTTTACGGGTCAATTTATTAGCCATCTATGACTATTAGTATTCAAACTACAGATTATAATATGCATGGTAACCGTGAATAAAATCAATAATTCTCTCATTTCATACAGTAGGTAATCCTGCCTGAAGGTGAACCTTGTTACCTGGCATGTACTTATTCTCTATAGCCTGCAGGAGCTGCGCCTCGTCCACGTGGGAGCAGAGAGCGTGAGCCACTCGGTTGTTTCCCAGAGCGCAGATCGCAGAGTACAGTCTGAGCGTGTGGAAGTGAAACTTTAACAAATCCTTCTGCTCTGACAGCTCCAGGATGTCCACCGACCTGGGGGGCAATTAGAGGTGTGAGCAGGGACAGGGTGGAGGCAGAGGCATGCTGGGGGGGCGGGCTCTCTCACCTGTTCTCCTCAGGTATGTGCAGAGACATGAACTGCAGCGGGTCATTACACTGGACCTGCCAGCCGTGTCGATCGTTCACTCTGGAGGTGGAAACCTGGACGAAGTAAATGGAGTCAAATCTGGTCCATAAAACATGTTTTATGAATAAAATGCGAGAAAATAACATGTTTCTTAAATTAAAATTTGAAGGAACGAAAAAAAATCTTTGTAAATTACATTTTCGAATGAAAAAATGTTTTAAGAATAAATAAACAAATAAAAAAATTGTAAAAATGCAATCTTATTTTACAGTTTAATTTTTTATTAATTTTTTTTATAATTGTATTCCTTGCTCCATTTTTTTCAAATGTAATTTTTTTTATTTCCTCTTATCAGATTAACTTTTTCCAGATGCCATTTTCCTCCTTTCTGGGGGCGGGCTTTTCTCTGGAGCAAAGACGCATTTGTATTGGTCTGCAGGATGTTAGCAACAACATTTTGATTGTTCCAGAGAGCGAGCCTTTGGATTGGGTGGGAAGAAAAGCTAACGATCTGGAAAATGCAATTTGAAAGGAATTTATTTCATAAAACAAAATCAAAACTACAAAGAAAAAAATATAAAATCTTTTAAAAACAATAGAAATGTTTTAATAAATATGAAATAAAATTATGAAAAATTGATTTGAATAAAATATTGTTTCTCTAAAAGCCTTTTTGATTTAAATGTTTTCCAAAATTTCTGAATAGATTTTTTTTCAAATGTCTTTTTATTCTTTAATACAAAGAATAATGGAACAAAAATCACTCCATAAGTATTCGGCTCTTAGTAAGGCTGAATTGGATTGTTTTGTCCCCGTAATTTCTTTAATGACATATTTTTACAAATATTAATGAATAAACTAAATTCATTTTAGGATTAAATTCTTTATTTGACAAACAGGAGTTCCTGCCTTTAGGAAGTGGTTGGGAACGCGGCTCCATAGGACGGGAGTGAGGAACTGCACGTGGAGTCGTGGAGGACATTGAGGAAGCGGATTCTTCCTCTCGCTTTTAAACAGACCAGCTGACAGAGGCATCACGTTCTGCAGGGGAACAGAAACAAAGTTGGAGAACAACCTAAAAACTTGGTTTAATCAGTTCCCTGGTGGAGCTGAATGATCAACAGCAGAGGGTGTGATTGAAAATCTGGAGCTTTATGCTACGTTCATCAGTGCGTAAGCAGCAGAAGCAGCAAAAATGCACGTGCTGCTTCATTTTTATGCTTGTACCAGTTTAGTTCTGACGTGCATCTGAAGCATCTTTGCTGCTCCAGCTGTGCGGTGGAAAAGTGGGTCTGAAGCGCGTTGGGCGGAGCTACTCTATCCTTTCTTTGCCTGGAACAATGGCAGCTATATTTGCTGTGATCAGTGGGTAAAAAGTAGTTTGAATCTATTTAGAAGTGAGAAAGTCCTCCTGAAAACATGGTCTGTGCAGTCAGTTCATCCAGATTACCATCCTGCCTTCAAAGATTAATAGCTAAAGTTCAATTTTTCCAAATCCAACAGCTGCTGCTGCTGAAGCGCGTCACGCGCCTCAGATGCTCAGAAGCTCATGAGGCGCTGCTGCTGCTGCTCTAAACGCGCTGCAGGATCTTTTGCTGCACCTTGATGCGCATCAACCATTGAGTTTGCATGTAAACCTGCTGCTTCTGCTGCCTCTGTAGGATGCGATCTGAACGTAGAGTTAGAGTCAATCAGTAATTATTCCTTTTATCAAGTAGGAAAAGTTTTCATCTGATGTTGTTAGTGTGGAAAGTAGAAACATTTTCACTAGGATGGTTCAGAGATATCACTGTCTTCATTCGTCTTTTACTTAGTTGTTAATCCAACAGCAAAGATTCAGGTGCTTAAATGTAAATTAACTCCTCTTTATGCAAAGTTATGTTTTCAGAAAAAGTTGAATGTTTTTAACTTTTTGTGTCGTTGAGCTTCTTAACACTAAGTGTGTCATCTCTGTTTATCCTCTACTCAAACAACAAACGTCCTTATTAAACTCAATGATGGCTTTGAGTCCGTCCTAAAGCATCGAGCTCAAAACGAAAACTAAAAATATCAATAACTCATTGAGCAGACAGAAACTGCATGAATTAACTCCGCAGAGGTCAATATAACAAAAAGATGATTGGCTGGAAGCTTTGAGGAAACAAACTTTGGATGTTTCTAAAGTTACTGATGTTAAGTTCAAGTCGCTTTGTTCATCAATGATCGGTTTTGTCATTTTTATTCCTTGGATTTAGGAGACAAGTTGCCAAAATACAGCCTTTCAAAATAAAATCCCTCACTGAAAAATAATTAATAGAATTGATATAAAAACATGCCAAAGCTTTTGGCTAATTTCTCATTTCCCCCAACAGTCAGACTGCTGTCTATGACTTCCTGGTTAGACAGTCTCACAATTCACAGTGGAATTTAAACACATCACCTTTTGTCTGTAAGCAGCTGATGGAAATGAACCCACTGAACCCCCAGTCCTAAAAAAATGGAAAACATTTCATATCTCCTGCCAGTGTGTCCTCCCACCTACCTTAATGCGCCCCAGTTCAAACTGGAAGACGTTGGGACTGGTGGCCTTGGCAAAAACCGCAGGAAACAGTTTTGTGCTGGGCTCCACCTGTTCAGAGGACAATGCTTTAGGGACCAACATGGGTTTTTTTCTGGCAAACATGACATGAACATGATTTAATAACACAGAGAGAAGTTCTCAGGCTTTTTGGTTAAAATTCTTCCTGCTGGGTTTAGTTTTTAACCAGAAGCTTTCCCATTGGTTATATTGTAGCAGCCATTAAAAATGGCCGTTCCCAGCCAAACACCAGCTGAATGGCAGCCAACTTCCAGTCATTGCATTGACCCCCTTTTGCATATTTTTTTACTCTGACTTCACCTTTTCATTGAATTACAGGGTCTGACCAGGAGATGACGCTTCTCTTTAGATCATAATGTCCAATAATCATGACAGAAAGAATATTTTAATACAAAGATTGATGTTTAAAAAGGAATTGTAGGGGACCAGCCAGGGACCAGACAAGGACCAGCCAGGGACCAGCCAGGGACCAGCCAGGGACCAGCCAGGGACCAGCCAGGGACCAACAAAGGAAAATGGGGAAATTTTGAATGGCTACTACTCTACTTGCTGCTTGGGAAAGAGTTGTGATGTTGGGACCATCTCTGCACAGTCCGCTCTCTTTATGGTCTTTAATCACTTTGTTTTCTTCTTGTTTTATAACATGTTTGTCTGGATTTGTCTCTTTCCAGGTCTCTAACCCTCAGCCTGTTGAAGGGATAGTGTGTAACTAATTAGGCTTTTTATGAGCAAAAATCTAGTATTGCTTTAATAAATAAACTTTGCTTTAATAAATAATAAATAAACTTTGCACCAAAGATTGATCAAAATGGCATTAAAAATGGAAGAGCTTCCGTAGTTTAGAAAGACTGGTTTATAAATATATAGATAGCTGATCTATGGGGAAAAATAACTGTTAATTAATACATAAGCCTACGTGTGCCTACAGTGAGGCCAATGTGCCTGGAGGGCGGCCATCTTGGATCGGACCATGGTTCAAACAGCTGCTGTAAGAATGAGGCGCCTTAGAACTCATTTTAAATGATTTAAAATGAAAGACAAGTCAGAGATAATATTACAATAATTTCTTCCATGTCACAACCCATCAGCTGTTTTACTGCCACTGATGGGTAGGAGTCGTAGCAGCTTCATATCATGTTATAACTTTTTAACTAATTTCCTTAACTTTGAATAATATTTACCAGGTCGGACACCTACACATACTTTTTTATTGGCAGTTACGCGCTCAAACTCTTTAGCCTTACACATTATATCCATTTTTGAGCCTGTGTTGTTGGTGGAGGACGATTATAAAACAAACAAAGGCATTAATCAGTGCGTAAGCAGTGATGAACGCCCTCCTGTTCAAAGGGAGTTTTTCCTCTCCACTGTCGCGATAAGCATGCTTAGTGTAAGGGATTGCTGAAGAGTCAATGCAATCAACTGGTTTTCCTTAGATAGAAAACCTTGATTGAATCTGACCTGATGATCTGGTGAACTGAAATGTGCTTTCAGATGACATGTGTTTTGAATTGGCGCTATAGAAATAAACTGAATTGAATAAAGTGAATGTGATTGGTCGTTTATCAAGAGGCAGGATTGTTGGAAGGTTCGCAAGCACTTTTGGTTGTAGCCGGTTTCTCTGAAGCATCTTGCTAACCAGTTAGCAACTTAGTGCTAGTAGGTTCCCAATGGGAAATTCCATTGGGACCAAGTAGCACTAAATTGGTGACTTAGAAACGACACTGTCAAGGAACGCTATGGACAGAGGAAACATGCAAGAGGAGGAGAGTTTAGTGTCGGAGGTCACGGATGAGTCTCCTCCATCATCCATTTTTTATTTAAAGAAGGAAAGCGGGGACAAAGATGTTGTGGAAGAGGACGCCAGGGCGGCAGAAGCTTGGTTTGGTGTAGAAGGCTTCCAGCCGTACATGTTTGAGCCCTTGCCTCGCAACGCTGCCAGTTCTGTTAGCTCTACGCCTGCTGAAGACACAGACGTCCATCCCCGTGAACACTGGGACGGAACTCAATGGGAAAGGAAATGATTCTTATTTCAACCGTTGCGTATATTAGCTGCGACATATGAATCAAGATGCTATGACTGAAAAAATTTTATTGACAGATGACCGTTGATATATGATTGGCTGAATTTAGGTGTTCAGGCTGACATGTAACTAACGGTCTGCATAAGATAACGAGAAAAAAAACAGATTCAAGAACTTCTCTCCAACGCATATCAACGTATCTGACGTGTTCCAGATGACCCCTAAAGGTGTTTCTAACTTCCAGCTACTGTATAATGGCGTATTGGCAGCGTTCTGGTATAAAGGAGGAAGGCATCAGTTCTCCTCCAGACTTCATCCCCATCATAGGGTGAGCCAGAAGGTGAGGGTGATGGATCCTCCCTGCATTCACGCCCACCACCAACAAACTTCCTAGCAGACATGACGCTCAATCTGCTGCCACCAAAAACCTTCTTTCTTTGTTTTTCTTTATTCTTTTTTTTTTGGGCGGCGGTAAACAGCAGCTAGATTAATACAGCGATCAAAAAAAATTTTTTATGCAGACTGGGCTAACGAAGTTAGGCTGTCGTTGGACAGAAGTTCTGGACTCGTTATGGATACTCTATGTATACGCCCAAAATTGAAAAAATACATATAAAGTTCAGTGTATGCCAGAATTTTAGGAGATTCTGGGACGTGGGGAAGCATTCGCTGGATAAATCGGCAAGGTGTGACAGGAGCCTCAGGCTGTTATCTGTGAGTTTTTTGGGTCAGAATTGACCTAATTTGTATGAAATGACAAAGGAAGGCAGAAAACGTTTCATCTCATCAGTACCAGCGGTTGGACATTACAGCCAAAGACTGTTCACATTACGTTCAAAACCCAGTCATAAACATTTGCAGACATGTTTGCATTAAGGAACAAAAAGTCTGGTGTTTACCTGGTAGTAAATGCTGAGTTCTTTCCCATTAGCAGTGAAGGTGAGCAGACCGTTTGTTGTGTCGACGAGACAGCCGATCTCCAGGCCGTTATTGTTCCTGCCCTGCCCCGGGCTGCTGCTCTCTCCAGCCCACACCATGTAGCAGTTACTGCGCTTTATGCTGTAGGACAGTTAGCAGGAGAGGGGATTACAGATTAGCATCAGGTTTAGCATTAAGGACATTCATCAAACTGCTGTTTCACACCTCAAATGATAGATCTTCCAACCATTGTCTCAGGTAAATGTTTAGATTGCCACAAAATGAAACAAAGCAACCAGAACATCTAGTTTTTGGTCAAATATTATAACAGGTCCTGGCCATTTTAATTTAGAAATTAAAACAACAACCAAAAGTGGAAAATAACAGAATTAGGAATTATGTTTGACAGTTTTCAACATATCTTTATGCATTTAGTGAGCAGATAGTACTTTGCTAGTTTTTGTCTTTTCTATTTGCTGCAGCAAACAACTCAGCAACCAAAAGTATATAAAAAAAAATCTGCTCCTTTGAGGTTTTAAAGCCACTCTTCTCTCATACATGCAGTTTCTCCCTTCCTTGAAATAAATTCATTGAAATACAGCAGAAAACTCTGAATGCGTAATTGTTTGCACACTATTCATTTAGCAGCCATGCCTTGAGCTCCCTCCATCTGTACCCATAGTTAATGTCTTGCTGTTTGTGAATAGATGTTTATTTTTTTTTTTGCTTTAATTGAGACTTGTTTAAATTCTATCATGTGAATGGCAGCAGAAGGAGGGGCTTAAAGGACGGGTGGAGTGTCACTGAAACACTGCTACCTAATGTTCAGTTTGTATATCTTCATCCATCGCTGATGTCAGCTTCTCCTCTGCTGGGTTTGGTTAACTTTGCTGTCTGAATTTTATGCTAAGCGCAGCCATCAACAATTTTAAATCACTTCATTGTTCCTTCTACTGACGAGCTTTATGGAAAAGCTTATTTTATTTTCCACCTTGACTTGATACCAGCTCGCACTGCCAGAGGGCCCTGAAGATGGTTCAGTGACAAGGATAGTTCATTGTTGGCCACTGGAAACCAGTGAGACTTTGTTGATAGTGGAAACATTTGGTTCTTTATTGGCAACTGGAAACCACTAGTACTTTATTGGCAAGTGAGACTTTGTTGATAGTGGAAACATTTGGTTCTTTATTGGCAACTGGAAACCACTAGTACTTTATTGGCAACTGGAANGTACTTTATTGGCAACTGGAAGTCAGTGGTACTTTATTGGCAACTGGAAACCACTAGTACTTTGTTGGCAATGTGGTATTTTACCAAGGCAATGATTTGACTTTACTAACCTCTCATGGACTTTTCCCTTCTCGTCACCGAGGGTAACAGTAACAGTCCGGACCTTGTTCAACTCGAAGCTCGGGTCATACTGGTGGAAGTCAGAGGTCACCCAGCCAACCCACACGGTGCTGGGCTCCTGACCAGGGAAGATCCGCACTGAGTAGTAGTACTAGACGGAGAGAGAGAGGCGCAGTCAGGTTAACTTTACATGAAGAATCAGTTGATCAGGCGGGAAATACCTCATTCAAATCAGACATTCTGCCTCGTGTAACGTGTCATTGTTGTGTTGTTGCCTTGGTGTTTCAGTTGATTGTATATACTCAGACCTTATCTTTTTTTTATTCTTATATCTTATTTTTACGCTTTTTATATGGGAAGTGTGTAATATTTCTTATTTTATTCTTACTTATTATTCTATATTTTATTTTGCCCTATTTTACTTAGAATCTCATTTTTATCTCTTCTGTAAATGGTTGCACTGCAAAAAAAGAATTTCCCGTAAGGGATTAATAAAGTAATTCTGATTCTGGTTTTGGATCAGGTCAGTTGCAGCGCTGTGGAGGTCTTTCCCACAAGGATTAACACAACGATTTTTCCAAATCATTGTGATGTGACCCATGAGGCCATATTGAGAAATATATAGATATTATATTTTAATTTATCAAGTTGAGCTTTTTTGATTTATATTTTACAGTAAATATTGCATTAAGTTATAAAATGCACAATTAGGTAAAGTCACATAAAATAATTATAAATACATAAAAAATTATTAAATAAATATAATTTTAAAAGTACATTTATTTAATAATATATAAGATTTCTT